ACAGTAACTACCTCAATGTAGTATTACTGCATACATAATTATACTGACAAATTTTCATTTCATCAAAACAGAAGTGCATACACTTGAATTTGTCCCCAACATAACTCATGTTACTATCATGGGGCAATTGTGGGTGTTATTTTAAAGATAAAGAAGCTTCTAATAGCAAATCATGGCTTTGTTTTACTTATTTAAGCCTAGACTAACGTTCCTTGCTACATAATACTGGCCAAACTTCTAAAATAATAAGCAAATAATGAGGTAGTATTTTTCCCTCCATACCGACAAAAAACTAGCACTGACACAGACTCAAGTGTGAAGCATTTTAAACAGGGTTACCTCAGATTCATCTGTTGATTCCTCATTAGACCTGGTTTCCTGAAAAGGACAAAAAGGACAAAGGGGTAATTAGGTAAGTACACACATAACTGAGCAGTATTTCCCTTTTTAAAAGTACTTTTAATCCTTTATTAAGACACAAAAGACAAAGCAGAAGCAACTCAAAGTTTAGTTTCCATCCTGTCCATTCGTACCGGGTTTGTTCTTGCACTTGCATTCACATGCCACACTGATACTCAAGGGCAGCAGTTGACTGTGACATTGCTGTCAGTTACCCTAAAAGAGTGATTGTATCATCTGAGAATCTGTCTCTGTGATAGCTTCCCCCCTTCCAGAAGTAGCAGTAAGTTTTGCAAAGAAACTGCCCAGGTCTTGACCTTCAAGGCAGAATAGCATTCTCCAGTTATCCATAAACTAGCTTTGCTTCAACTACGCAGTTTTTAATAGGCTTATTTTAAACTTAAATAATTTCAAACTATTTTCCACAGAAATCCAGCATTCAATGCCTTTCTCCTTTTCACCTCATGTCAGTGCAAGACATATGGCTTTCTCCTGCCTTTGAAACAACTGTACCTTTAAAACATCTCTCTCTGGCAAGACAATGATTCTTGCTACCTTACAAAAAAAATTTTGTAAGTCAACTCCTGCTCATCTCTCATCTGTTCACTGAGAAAATCTGCTGATGCAATGCCTCCTCAAAGAGGTCAGCAAAATGAAGATTTACTTAACGTATTTATCTTTATCAATAGCAATAAACGATTACAACTAATACACTGGCAGTGAATGTAAGCATTTCAACAATAAAATATGATATAAACAAAGAACAAGCTAGAGAGAAGGCAGCATTTCAAATCTTATGATGTGGTCTTTGGACAGTAAGATTAACAGGTACAGAATTTCACCAGAGAAGACAAAAAAGAAATGACACCGTTACCAACAGCTTAGAGAAAAACAGAAAGGGAAAAAAACTGAATGCATTGACAACCAGTATAATTTTTGGTTTGTCACATTTATTTATTTATTTTCCATGTTTATTAAATGCCCTGATTATGAACTCTAGGCAAAAAGCAAACGTCTCCTTTGCATTAGTGGGGGCTCATCTTGGTGCCCATAATACATCACAGCAGATGGGACAGAAGAAAAGCAGCACCTCTACTTGCCACTGGAAGCTTAGCGCACGGTGTTACCATGACTACTGACATCTGTTTCCTCCATTTTACTCACTACAGCCAGGCCCACCTCCAAAACACATATCCCATAGAAAGGTTATCTGTGTAGTCTACACTTGAGACATGAGTTGGGAAATTGCAAGTATGAAGAACATGGGACTCAAAGGAAGATGGAGTAAAATCCTGGCATCCTTTCAAGTTTAGGTTTGACTTTGCATGTACAACTATTTGTCTGTCAGTCTCCCAGTCTCTAATCACAACCTGCAGTCACCTTTCCGGAAATTAGAAGTTTCTTAAATAGAATCTTTGTGCATCTTAAATTGTACTTAATAACCAAATCAGGACAGAACTAAGCATTGTGGTGTAATGTTGCCAGCCTATTGGATAGCTAGAGTAACACACGAAGTCTAATGCAAACTATCACCAGATTCCTAATAAAAAAAACTGACTTTCTCTCTTGAATACCAGGAGTTGCCTCCTCAGCCCCTTAATAAATCAAAACTATTAGCACTACTGTTTTGATACATTGATATAATTCACATAGTTTGTAATAATATAATTTTTTTTAAAAAAGTAACTTAAATCAGGTCTCCCAAACAAATTAAGCAATTACAGTTCTGGACCCCTCAGTTCAGGAAGGATGTCGAGGTGCTGGAGAAGGTGCAGAGAAAAGCAACAAGGCTGGTGAAGGGACTGGAGCACAAGTCCTATGAGGAGAGGCTGAGGGAGCTGGGGTTGTTTAGCCTGGAAAAGAGGATGCTCAGGGGACACTCATCACTCTCTACAACCACCTGAAAGGAGGTTGTAGCCCGGTGGCTGTTGGTCTCTTCTCCCAGGCAGCTATCAGTAAGACAAGAGGGCATGGTCTTAAGCTGTGGCAGGGGAGGTTTAGGTTAGATAGTAGGAAGAAATTCTTTACAGGGAGGGTAAACAGGCATTAGAATGGGCTGCCCAGGGAAGTGGTGGGTTCTCGGTCCCTGGAGGTTCTTAAGATGGGACTGGATATGGCACTTAGTGCCATGGTCTAGTAACCACAGCAGTGTTGGATCAACGGTTGGACTTGATGATCTGAGAGGTCTTTTCCAACCCGGCTGATTCTATAATTCTATGACACAGCAAGTGACATTTTTGCTGGTACATAAGACTTTCTAGTGCAGCTACACCACTTACATCCACCCCTTATGGTTCCAATTGCTTTGGCTATTCAGGAGAACAGAAATGCATGTAAAGCCAGTTACAAATTTTCAGGATGAGCTCACAATCTAATACCATGCAGAGAGACCAACACATGTGCAGGGAGAAGATAACAGCCCACCTGCAGAGACAGCAGCTGATACTTACACCCACCTGAGTCACTTAACTGAGCTGCAAGTAGTTAAGTGCAAAGGTATCCCTGGAAAACACTGGCCTACGAAATCAGGGCACACCAGAAGTTGATTCCAATAATCAAACCGTGTAAACTAAGCAAATATCAATCTATTTTTATTTAGGACATCTACTCTGGTATCCCTACTGTATTCACAAGGCACTGCAACCCCAGATACTAAATTTCATAAAAGGCACACAGATAAAGGTAAATGCTGCATGGCCTTTGTGTTTAACTGCAGAAAACAACATGCAAAAATTCAGAGGGAGCCTTGGCTTAGGAAAGAAATGCAGAAACCTTATTTGTTCCCTGACAAGAACTTAGCTGAAGGTGCTTAGAATTGACACTTACCTACTAACCCACTTTGCTAGCAACTTACGATGAAAAGCTTTTTCCCTACATTCTCCCATTTAGGCAAATTGGAACAGTAAACTGTAGTTATGATTGCCCTGGAGTTTTGTTAGGTTCCTTTCTCTTCCCTCCAAATACATGAACTGAGAAGATTATCCCCCACTTCTACTTTTTAGTAGCCTTGTAACTCTGAAAAGAAAATCCCTTAACAGGAATTTGTAGACAACCAGAATCCTAAATCATGTAGGAATAACTGTCACTAGTAGGTCTCAGACTCTAGGGGAAAATCAGCACTGCACTTCAGCCAGCTGCCAAATGCTGTTTTTCAAGTAGTCTAAGAATGGGGAAAGGGAACACAGATGAGGAAACCACAAAAATGTGAAGTAATCTCCCACCATTATAATATTTCATTTAAACAGATCCAACATAACTTCTCAATAAATTCTTAAGTGGGCTTTCCAATATGGTGGATATAGGGTTTTCCCTTCCCTGCCTTTACAAACATCAAATGCCATCTATATATATTTAGGCCCATAACTTAAAGCTGACAGAAGGGGAAAGCCACAGAACTCCAGTTTTAAAGAAACACACATGCACAACGCATACATTCCTTCCAATAGAGATGTGCATGCTCCCCAGAGGAAATAAACAAATAAGGTAAGTGTCCTACCATAGTCCAAAGAGAGCAAAACACAGGCTAGTTTAATCTCTTATATTATTAGAGAAGACTTGTCAAGAGTTGGTTTTATCCTGAGAACTCTTTCGAAGGCTGCCACACTTAAAAACGTACCAATCCTGGGAAAGAAGCCTCCCATAAGGAATTCAACTCCTCCCAACAAAACCCCGACAGCAGGGAAGGTGGAAACGACCTGTCAATCTCTAATTTAGGCCAATTCCCATGGAGTAATTCTAAAACTCTCCCTCCTTTAGGTATTCAAGACAAGACAAATATCCCACAGCTTAGCTGTCTGTCTGAGTTCTGGCTCAGCAAAGAAACACTGAGAACATTTGTGAAAGGGCCAGCAACTGCACTTCTTGCTTTACTTATTTTTTTTTTCCTTGGGAAGGAGCGATCTAGGCACAGGGAGCTTTAGGAGAACACCTCCTTTAGGAAACCACAGATAGCCTGCACCAAACTCCTCAAGTTTTGTCGCAGGAGAAAATTCCCCAGCTGAAATTAACTTGGTCATGTCACCCATGTCCCTTGGTAGGCAAACCCTCCAGTTCTTTAACCTTGGCTCCAAAGTGGCGCCAGCTACACTTCTAAACCTTCCCTCCCGGCCAGACCCACGTTCCGCCGCCTCCATCTTCTCTCCTGCGCCCCGGCGCAGCGAGGATCGCCAGAAGGATCGCCCCGCCGCCGGCACCGCACCCTCAGGGCGGCCTGACGGCCTCGGCCTCTGCTCCCTCTCACACGCGCTGTCCCTTCGCTCCCATGAGCCGCCCCGGCCCTACGCTCCGGCCGCCCCGATCCGCGCCGCTGCGGCCACAGGGCACCGACAGGCTCTACCTTCTCCTCGGCTTCCGCCATGGCGCAGCCGGGCCGCTGTCATGTGAGGGGCAGGAAACCGACGGGGAGGAGGCACTCTGGGAAATGTAGTTTCGGAGGGTAGGGATGTTTTCCTCCCTTTTTTTTTTTTTTTTTACTTTCTTTGTTTCTTTTCTTTTTTTTTTTATTTTTTCCCCCATCCCCTCCTTTTTTCCTTCCTCAGCCCAGCTGAGGTACGGTGGCGATGCCTTACAACATGAACCGGGGGCAGAAACAAGGCTGGGCCCCATGGGCAGCACAGCCATGTTGTCTTTCTGCTCTCTTAGCTGTGAGATGCTTTTTTAAAGCTGAATTCCATTGATTCTGTCAGGTCTCGCAGATTTATGGTACACCCAGCTGCTGTGAGACAGAAGGTGGCCCCTGTGGTGGCTGATGAGCTGGCCCCTGGTTAGCGAGAGTCTGGGTGTAGCTGAAGCCAAGAGCACTGGCAGCGTTCCATGCCTGCTCTCATTGCTGTGCTTGGACTGCCAGTGCTCCCGGACCAGGCCCATTTATTGTCACCCATCCGAGCATCACTTGGTCGAGCATAGCTCCCGTTTCCATTAGATCCTCTGGTGAGACGTGTAGCAGCTTCTGTCCTCTTCATACTTCTCACTTAATTTGTCAGTTTTGAAATGGCACACACACTTCAGTGTCAGGAGGAGGATTTCAGAAAGCCTAAATATCTTCTACAATTCTAGAATCTGCTGTATTTTGTTTTTTAAAAGCATAAAACAGGACTTGAATGCCTTGCTTGCACCTAAATTACATTTTTTTATATATTAAAAGTCTAACCAAAGCTAAAAAGCAATAGGCAGAACTTTTTATCACTTGGGTTTTGCCACTGGAGCTATTTAAAATCTCAGGTGGAACTACGGTGTCAATGCGCCCTTGGGATCAAACCCAACAATTTAAAAATATGCAGTTCACCTTTGGCAATAAAATAGAAATCTTATAATACCACAGTGCAAGACCGCAAGGACAAACAATTAATTGCAGAGCGTTATCACCTTGGATATGAAAATCATGTATGTCACTGCCATACCTTTAGAAACTAATTGCCAGAATTTTGACTGAGAAGAACTAGAATTGTCCTTTAAAATCACACTGAAAGGTTTACACTGGGGTGAGAGATAGCTATCCAAGTTACCAGTTTCAGTGCAAGAATGTATGGAAATAGCTATGCTAAATACATTTAATTTGCAAATGACATTAGGAAGTACCTTTATGGACTATCAAAGTACCATGGCAAAGAAGCATGTAAATGTCATCTTGGCCTTATAAGCCAAGGGATATCTACAGAGAATGAGATGTTTGGCTGCTATTGTACAAAATATTGTTGAGACCACACCTGGATATAATGGTAAATTTCAAGTCACATTTGTTACAAAAAAGATTAATTGAAACTGGAAGGGGCCAAAGGACCACTAAAAGTATCACAGAAGTTTAGGGTGTATTCTGTTGGAGAAGACTGATAAAAAGGACTTAGCTTCTCTAGTCTGGAAATAAAAAAGAGCTGAAGAGGAAAGACAGCTATTAAAGTAAAAGATATGAGATCAAAGAGATATCAGCTATTTTCAGTGCATTTAGGCTGAAAATAAGAAGTAGATTCCCCTGTGTCAGACATGTGTGGTCCTCAGAAGAACCTTGCTGGCGAGAATTAACTGATTTCAAGATGAGACTTAATAAACCTAAATAAGAGACTGTAAGAGCTGTTTGCTGACAGCTGTGTGGTTTACCCGGAATGCTTACTCATTCCAGTCCCATTTGAGCCTTCTTGAATTTTAGTCCTATTTAAATCAATGAAAAAATATATCCTTGCTGACAATGGAGCAAGGATTTGTCCTGTAATATGTAATACACAATGTATATTATCTGGTACTTGAAACTGTGTATATCTCGTGAAAGGAAATTTTGCCAGATACATTTTTTTCCTACTTTCAGGGTAAAATAAAACCTCAATAGGGCTTTTGCGTTTCAGGGTTCATTTTCTTTTTTTCTTTTTCCTTGTTTTCCTTTTTCCTTTTCCTTTTTTTTTTTTTTTTTTTTTACATCAACAGAGGTATTTTGTGGCGCTTTTTAATCTGGAATGAACATTAATAACAGACCTTTTAAGTATGAAGAAAAACAGTGTAAGGAAAAGGATGGCAGATCTTGTAAACTTTGCTATTATAACAGCTAACAGTGCACATTTGTTCATTTTTTACAAACAGGGCAGTCAAGGAACAGCTGTGCTTGTTTTCACTGCACACAGAAGAAGTGGTATAAACAATGTGATTTACTTACAGGGTGCTGCTTATTTCTGGCAGAATGGTGCAAAACTAATTCTTTTCTTGTTTACACTTAAGGTACGAATTCAATCTGCCATGATTACGGGTTTTTATTGTGTCAGGAAAATTTAATATGTCAACATCTGATTCTGCCACCCCTCCCACACCCATCCTCCAGAAGTGCTGAAAGCCATCAAGAAGAAATGACATCACTAGGTTTTAAAGTCTTTCAGCACCTCCCACTAAATACTCAGCATCCTACAGATTTGGACCTGAGAACATCCCAGCTAAAGCGTAGTTCAGCATAAGTGGAAAATACAGCACTGCCTAGGGCAAGTAAATGTTCTGTCCTAGCCTTAAAACCTAGTCTCTCTGTGTCTGCCAGCACACAGAACTGAAGTTTGGGTTAAGTCAGTTCTACTAGAGGTATAGGTTTGGGATTCCTGGTGAGATTTTTAGGTAGAGCATTTTGGCTCCGATCCATCTTGCGTGATGGGCTGGCTCTACTTTATCATTTAGTTTGAACTTGGTTCACCAAAAATAACACTCTTCACAAGTCTTTATATAAATATTTTAACCATACCATGATGGCTTTAATGTTCTTAGTGCCTATTTTAATGCAGAGCTTCCAGCTGATAGGAATTCTGCAGGACATTTCTAACAGGATGCTGATACTCTATTCAGTTTGAATTTCAGAAATTCAAGTCTGTCAGGAATTTCTGGTTTATTTTTTGCCACAGAAAACAGAATTAGCATTGAAACTTGGGTCTTGACCAACATTCAGATTTCAAATAGTTAGAATTTTTATCTCTTGCTTTAACACACTTTCTCCCTGACCACTGTGAAACATAAGAAGTAGCAGTGTCCACGCCAATTGGTATATTACTGTATTTCAGTCTCCAAGAGCTCTCAGTTGCTTTCAAGTAGGACTGATTCATCCAACAAAATGTTCAGGTGAATTATCTCTCGCCAGTCTCACCACCACTTCTTCAGTAAAAAAAAAAAGCAGTGTTGTCTCTAAGTTAATAGCATTTAAAAACACTATGCTGGATAAAACATAACTAATGCTGATAATCCAATAGAAGTTCAAAGATTTTCCTCTTTCTGATTGTTTGTAGGAATAGATTTGCGAAGTCTTTTCTTTTTTTTCCCCCTTGTGATCAAAGAATTATTTCTGTGAAGATACTTTCAATTTGTACTATAGCTTACATAATTATAATCTTGAATATGTTCAGGAACAATCCTTTAAAAACAATCCTATTTCACTTGCTAGCATTATATTGTTTTGCAGTTGTTTACTTTTTTCTTCTTAATCCCCCTCTAAAATTTGTTCACAATATTTCTTACTGAAATAAGTATAGGAACAACGACTATAAAAAATTTTCAATGATAAATGTAAAACCTAGAGTACCGTGTGGGCATCATAGTAAATGCCTTCTTCAATTGGCACTAAAGATGACTGCTGTTTAATTTGCAATATCACCAAAAAGACAAGGTAAGAAATAGAAGTATGCATTACCACTATGTCCCACCACTGCAGGGTATTTAAATTAAATTTAAATGATCAACTATTTTTATAAAAATGAGAAATATCAAAAAGGTTATTATAAGTCCTTTAAAATGGTTGATCTTTATTTCCTGAGATTTAAAGCCTTTTTCAAAATATAGTGAATTATTTTCAAATCCTTCAGGAATAATGTTTCCCTTAGTCTTTTCTTTCTTCCTCTGACCCTCCTTCACTGTCTGGGTTTCTTCTGCTCCCTTTCTTTGTCTTCACTCTCAGGCAGGCTTTATTGAAAGATACCTTCTTGTGCTGAGTAGAACACACAAAGAAGATGAAAAAATTTGAAGAACAGTAAACAACATAAAGCCAGTACAATTATCCATTTATTAAAGATAAACAAGGGCTATACATAAAGGGAGAGGTAGTAAGGGACTATCTTAAAAACTTTATAGCTAAATGTATAAAGGGATTTGTAGAGAAAGAGCAAGTCTGAAATAGAAAAATTATTATACTACAAGAAAATTCCATACATTTGTAGATTATGAAGCCAGACAGGAATAGCTCTGTGATTTAATCTGAACTCCTTCCTAACATGGGCCATGAGATTTACCTAAATTAGTTCTTCTTTGTACCTTTTTTTAAAAAAAACCCCATACCTTGACATAACATTTCCAATGACACAGAACTCCCTGTATTTCTGGTAAGTCATTTCAAGGGGGCAGTTTTACTCACTAGTAGAAAAACATAGAACACAAAAGAAGCAGTCACAACAGTGGCCCATATAATTTAGTGCTTGGTCTTCAATGGTGGTGATAAGAGATGCTGTTTGGGGAGAGCACGTACTGAGCTCCACTTCCTTGTCTTACCTCAGCATCTACTGGAACAGAATTAGGGACGATAGAAGGCACAGCCCTTCTGCCATCTGTTAGTGAACCTGCTATTGATGAATTTGTCTCATTTAGACCTGCTGGTCCTGCTTGCCTCCAAAATCTCTTAAGGCGATGAAACCAAAAAGCCGTCTGCCTGCCACTTAAAGAAGATCTTCTTTTTTTCCTGTTTTAAGCTGCTCTGCTATGGCTGTCCTACCAGGTTTGATAAGCACCCCTTAGGTCTAATAATGCAGGATTTGGTACATAATGGGTTTTTCTTGTCCCTATGGCAAATTTAAGTTTGTCTTACCTTGGCTTTGAGCCACTCCATTATGTCCACCATGGCATCATCTTTCAGCAACTTTTGAAAGTTCTGTATTAAAGGATTTCTGTTCCCCATGTGAGTACTTGTATCCTAACATTAAATCAATTCTTCGTTATTTGTTAAGTCAGAGAGAAAGATGCCCCTGATTGCTTCACGTCTTACATCCTACTTGCTATACCTGTTACCATCTCTCTTAATTTGTACTTGGTGGGATATGGCTCTATTACTTTAAACTAATGAAACATATTCACGTCTTTTATATTTATTTTATTATTGTGAACAACTCTACCATTTACAGCTGTGATTCCACTTATAGGATTCCTTCTCCTTCCTAAAAGAATTAAAACACTTCTTGTCTTTAATTCTTCTAAGGTTGGCTTCTTTTTTTGTGCTCCATCTATTTTGTTATGATTCCTAGGTTTTAATTTACAAATTTACAAATTTAAATTACTGCCAATGATTTTTTTCTCTTTGAAACAAAACATAAAGATCAAAGTCCATATATATATATATATATATATAAACTTAAAATGAATGCTTTCATGTCTTCCTCAAGGATATTTTATGTTTTGCTGTCTTGTTATAGAGTTCTCATTATTCCTTTAAGAGTTTCCACTTCACATTTATATGTTCCTCCTAGCTGGTTATTCATTAGTTTCATCTTTTTAAGGCAGCATTAATGTTTGTTTTTAGTAAGAGTCACATTCCATTGTCAAACATAAATGTAATTTGAGAAATTAGCATTTTCATCAAAGAAAGCACTTAGATTTGATCTAATTTAAAATTAACACATAATGGTTAGAGAAGTCTTAAGATGTTGTTTGGTCCAAGAGTCTCAAGAACAAACTTAAATTTAATCTCCATGTTCATATTAAGTTTTGTGAGTTTTTAGCAATTGTACCTCCTTCCTATGTATTGAGAAGTGTTGTCTCTAAGTGAGACCAGTTCTTGAAAGAAAATAGATATTTAGGTAAGATTCCAAATCTTGACTCTAGGATTTAATAATTTTATTAACATTTCTGGAATTTGAAATTGAAAATCCAGTATTCTAAGTTCTAAAACTTCACTCTAGGCTAAGATAATTTTTATAAATTATCTGTCTTACAATGTGACTTTATTAGAACTCTTTTTCATGTTCATTATGATCAACTGGCATAATGGAGTCCTTTTCATTACTGAATTATCAAGATGTTTCTATCTATATTCTTGTTATAGGTTGCACCAGCAAGAGAATCCTGGTTCCCAAGGTGATTGCTGCAGGCTGTCTCAAGGCATTGCTTTCTTCTGAGTTTCCAATTTTAAGTACCTGAAATGATGTGAAGATAGTTGTTCTGTCGGTCAGGTGGGTGCCTTGCATTATGCTGAGATTTTTCCTATCTAGGAAGGAGACACAAAGAAGCATGCAAGGCACAAAGCCTTCTGGGGTAGCACTGGAGGACTGTCTCAATATGAAAGAGCCACACTTGATGGGGTCTGTCCATGGTATTATGTGATAGCAGACCTTGGGACAAACTGTCACAAAGGGCACTAATTTCCTCACTGCAGAGAAGAACCTGGAAGGGATCAACCACATGCACAGTATTGGTGATCAGGGCAGTGGGGCACCAGAGAAAAAGAATTAGCCAGGCTGGTAGTATGAACTCATACACAGAATAATTTTGTACTCCTGTTGTCCTTCTATATCTGTGATATTACCCAGGTATTTTATTTGGCCGGGGGTCACCCCTCCGCTCCCCGAGCAGCATGGTGGGGCCCGGGCTTGCCGGGGGTCACCCCCATGTGCCGCGCGCGCTCCGCGTGCGCGGTTTGGTCCCCAGGCACGGCCGCGGCGGGAGAGGGGAGAGAGATGGGTAGCCCTGCCGGCAGTTGCTGCACGCCCGTGGAGGAGGAGAGGGCAGCTTCGGAGCACACAGAGGTTTGCCGTTCCAGGTTTGAGGGGGGAAGGGGGAGGGGAGGTAAAGGGGAAGGGGGGGAAGAGAGGGGAGGGGTTATCAAGCGGGCCGTGGGGGTCCTCTGACTGGCAGGAGGGAGAGCGGGGCAATCCTGTATGAAGTGTCACAGGTGAGCAGTGCGCCTGAAGATACGCGGCAACGCAGTGGAGGAAGGATATGGTCAGGATGGGTAGTGGGGTTCCTTTAGAGTGATGGGGGTCCCAGCCAGGCTGGGGCCTTGAAAGGCACCCCAGCCTTGGATGGGTACGGGGGCCAGAACGGTTGGTCGGTTTGTTTGTCGTTTTGTTTTTGGCTCACCTGCGGCTACTGCCCAGGTTCAGCATGTTCTGGATATATTTGCTTTGCTCTGTTACGTCCTGAAAGGGTGGGCAGGACAAAGGGTTGTTCCTGGGTATCTCCTTATGATTGTATATAAATAGGTGATAGTAAAGTAGGAAATGAAAGACTTGCCCAAATCTAACAGGAACGTAGCCTGTGTGCCCCTATATGGTTGTAAGCTATGCTGGCGATGGTACATGCCTTTGGTAGGGTCGCCCATGCCAGACAGGTCAAAACCATAGGACCAGATACACTACATTCTTGGGCAGGATGAGCTCGTTAGCCTTCTGGCAGTCATCCTAGGAGGAGGACAACTCTAATACCAAACCCGGGCAGATGGAGCTCGCTTAGCCCTGTAAGGCCATCCATCTAAGAGAAGGTCACTCTAATCAAACCTACGTCCTGAAGACCTCGCTGCCACCGTCCAAGTTCGCTCGGCCCTGGCAGATGAACCTTAGGATTAAAGGGTGGGTTCAGTTCCGCGCATACTGCATCTCACCTAAAAATCCATTGCACAGACTTGAAGGCTTTACCCACATGCAAAAAGTCCTGTAGTGACGGGCGAGGGTCGAAACAGCAGGTGAAAGGTGCACTGGAAGCCGCAGACCCAACCCTGCATGCAGGCGGTTCAGGATATTGGTCATTTGAGACTGACTGGAGATGACAGTCTCTTGGGGCAGCACCCTGAACGACCAAGCAGCCTTTTCAAGGGCAGCACTGCTTGCTCCACTCGGAGAGGGACCTAGAAAAGGTGGCCTAAACAAAGCTCATCTCCACCTTCATCTGGTTGGTTAACCGCGGGCCAACGGGCATCTTCTTTTAATGCGGTCGCACAAAGAGCAAAAGACAAAGGCACGCACCTGCCTCCAAAGGTGTACCTAAATTAACTCTGATGTGTTGGAACATCAGAACCATGCTAGATTCTGCAGATAGCGGACGTTCTGAGCGACGTTCTGCCCTAATTGCCCATGAACTGGCTCGTCTCAACATTGACATTGCTGCTCTCAGTGAAGTTCGCCTTCATGAGGAAGGCAGCCTCAGAGAACATGGTGCCGGTTACACACTCTTTTGGTCAGGAAAGCCCAGAACTGAAAAACATCTCTCAGGTGTCGGCTTCATGATCAAAAACTCTATTCTTCCCAAATTCGAAAATCTGCCGACAGGTCACTCTGACCACATTATCTCCCTACGCCTTCCACTACACAACAACCAACACATTGTCATCTTTAGTATATATGCCCCAACTCTCCAAGCTGACCCTGCTGAAAAAGATAAATTTTACACTGACCTGCACCACCTTACCCAAAAGGTGCCTGCAGGTGATAAGATCATTGTCCTTGGTGATTTCAACGCCAGAGTAGGGAAGAATTTTGAAGCATGGAAAGGAATATTAGGCAAGCATGGTGTTGGAAACTGCAACGATAATGGTCGACTTCTACTAGAATTCTGTGCAGAGCAACAGCTCACCGTCTCTAATACTATCTTTCAGCAGAAAAATAGTCTGAAGACAACCTGGATGCACCCCAGATCTAAGCATTGGTACCTCATCGATTATGTCTTGGTACGATGGAGAGATGTCCGCGATGTCTTCCATACCTGCGTGATGCCCAGCGCAGAATGCCAAACAGACCATCGGCTTGTGCGCTGTAAACTCAACTTCAATCTCAAATTCAAACCTAAAAAGGGCAGTATCCCAAGGAGAAGACTCCAAGTTAACAATCTCCAATCAGCCACAGTAAGAGAGAGATTCCAGGCTAACCTTCAAACTAGGCTTGAAAACCATTCCACAGATTCTGCAGATTCCTCCCCTGAATCAATTTGGCAGCATATTAAAAGCTGCATCCTGCAATCCTCTGAAGAATCCTTAGGATTCTCCCTCAAGAAGAACAAGAACTGGTTTGATGAAAACAATCAAGAAATCCAGGACTTGTTGAGGAAGAAGAGAACCACCCACCAAGCACACCTTGCACTGCCTTCCTGTCACGCAAGAAAAACAGCCTTTCGTCTTGCATGCAGCAAGCTCCAACAGAAACTCCGTGACATCCAGAACAAGTGGTGGATCAATCTAGCTGCAAAAACTCAACTATGTGCAGATACAGGTGATCACAAGGGATTCTATGAGGCCCTGAAAACAGCATACCAGGTACAAAGCCCATTACTCAGCGCTGATGGTCAAACGCTTCTAACAGATAAAACCTCCATTCTGAATAGATGGTCTGAACACTTTCAGACTCTTTTCAGTACCAACTGTGTAGTCCAAGACTCAGCAATTCAGTCCATCCCAGAACAACCGGTGAAATACAAATTGGATACTGCCCCCACTTTAGGAGAAACCCTCAAGGCCATACAGCAGGTGAAAATCGGCAAGGCAGCTGGGGTTGATGGAATTCCACCCGAAGTCTGGAAACACGGGGGCCTTGCACTCCATACCAAATTTCATGAGTTTGTGGTGCGCTGTTGGGAACTAGGCCAACTACCATCAGACCTTCGTGATGCAGTCATCATCACTTTGTATAAGAAGAAAGGAATTAAATCAGATTGCTCAAATTACCGTGGTATTACTCTGCTCTCTGTTGCTGGCAAAATCCTGGCAAGAATACTCTTGAACAGACTAATACCCGCTATAGCAGAAGAAATTCTACCTGAAAGTCAGTGTGGTTTCAGAGCCAACAGGAGCACCACAGACATGATATTTGTTCTCAGACAACTGCAAGAGAAGTGTAGGGAACCTTTGTCGACCTCACCAAAGCTTTCGATACTGTGAGCAGAAAAGGTCTGTGGCAGATTTTGGAATGTTTAGGTTGTCTCCCCAAGTTCCTTAAAATGATCATCTCACTCCACGAGGATCAGCACGGCCAAGTCAGATATGACAACACGCTTTCTGAGCCCTTTCTAATAAAGGATGGTGTGAAACAAGGCTGCATTCTCGCTCCTACCTTATTCACAGTCTTTTTCAGCATGATGCTCCAAAGGACCACAGCAGACCTCGATGATCAGGACGGTATCTACATTCGATATCGTACTGATGGAAGCCTATTCAACCTAAGGCAACTGAAGGCCCACACCAAGACCTTAAACCATCTTGTCTGGGAGCTGCTTTATGCTGATGCCACCGCCCTTGTTGCCCACACAGAAGCAGCCCTGCAGCATTTAACATCCTACTTTGCAGATGCTGCTGAGCTCTTTGGGCTGGAAGTCAGTTTAAAGAAGACAGAAGTTCTCCATCAACCTGCACCTCAGGAAGTCCCCCATCATCCTCATATCACCATTGGCCAATCAGAACTCAAATCAGTCCAGCAGTTTAATTACCTAGGCAGTCTCCTCTCCTTGGATGGTAAGATTGACGGAGAGATAGACAACAGGTTAGCAAAGGCATATAGAGCTTTCGGAAAGCTTCATAAAAGAGTCTGGCGAAATAAACACCTGAAGAAAAGTACAAAGATCAGTGTTTACAGAGCCATTGTGCTATCTACTCTCTTATACGGATCTGAATCACGGGTCATCTACCACCACCACCTGCGTCTCCTAGAACGCTTCTATCAACGCTGCCTCCATACAATCCTAAACATCCGCTGGTCAGTTTATGTGACTGATACATCTATTCTTGAACAAGCAGCAGTCACAAGTATTGAGGCCATGTTACTGAGAACACAGATGCGTTGGGCAGGGCACGTCTCCAGGATGAAGGACCACCACCTCCCTAAGATCCTGCTTTACGGTGAACTTGCCACCGGCTGCCGCAAGAGAGGAGCCCCAAAGAGAAGATACAAGGACTCCCTGAAACAACATCTCAGCCTTGGCCACATTGACCACCATAACTAGTCTACTCTGGCCTCCAATCGGGAGGCCTGGAGACACACCATCTATAACGCTGCTGATGCTTTTGACAAAGCATGCAGGATCACCCTTGAGGAGAAAAGACAACGCAGAAAGAATCAAGCCTTGCAGAATATACCATCTAAGGAGTCTTTCTGCTGTGCCTTTTGCAACCGGACATGCCTATCCCGTATTGGCCTTTTTAGCCACCAGTGCGCTTGCTACGTGAGTAGAGCCCTTCCCAAATCTTCGTTCGTGAAGCCTAGCCATGATGATAACCCAGGTATTTTGGTATTATTTTCCTTAGGCTGTTACAATTGCATGAATCTCAGTAATATACCTCTGCTTTCGCTCATACCATAGCTGCTTCCAGATATTGGTCATGGGGAACCAGAAGATGATATAGTAGTAAGTTTCCCATCAACTTTCTGTGGTGTGTGTTTCCTTTTAAAGAAGCAACGTCCCAAATGGTTTACTTAAACTGACATGTCACAAAAGTCTCTCATGTCCAAATCTTAGTGACATTCTTCTATATAAACTGTATTACAGTGATACACAGTCATACTGTCGTAGTTTAGGAGTAGTATTCCCCAATTTAGTACTTGCACTATAAAAAACCCCTGCGAGGCACTCCCCTCTCTCCTCCGATGGGAAACGAAAAAGGCAGAGATCACAGTTTGAGATAAGAACAATTTACTGGAAACAGAAATGAGATAAGAAAACGAACAGTAAGAGCAACAATATTAATAGCAAAAGTATATGAAATGGAGAGTAATTCGACCCCAGGCAACAATGAACAACGGCAGATGGCTTCCCCTCTCATGGGGACCCAAAGCCACACCCTTCTTCTCAGCAGCCAGAGTCCCTTCCAGACCCGGCCATGATGTGAGGTGATGCCAAATAACAGGGTCTGGCCATGCTCCACTCACAGCTACTGTAAAAAATTAACCCTGTCCTGGCCAAAACTAGGACATATAACTTGGATATAATTGGTCTACTTGTATTTTAATTTAAAGAAAAAATAAGTTTCAGGGGATAACAGAACAAAATTAATAGAGCACAAGCCATTCATATTTTGATCTCAAATTTCATGCCTGATGAATGTTTTTCCATTATTATTTAAGAGGCTTTCATCAGAAATGTCGATGCAACATTTGTTTCAAGCACCTTAGAGAATAATTTTGCAAAAATAGTGAAGGAACAGATTACTGCATAAATAGTGACATTTTTATGAAATACAATCCTGAAGAAAATGTAATATATTTATGTACATATTGGATACATGGGTTGTCACTAGAATATGAAGTTTCTTTGTGTTTGTCTTGGGCTGCCTCACTCGCTGTGTTGTAAAGACACAGTAAATAAGCTTGTTTATGCCATATCTTCTCACTGTTAAAGATTTGGAGTTCTTTTGGAAACAAAAGTGCTATTCTTTTTTAACTTGTTATATTTTGCATAATTTCATGATGAAAAAACTATAGATGAGATTAATTTTCAAAATAACCCTCTCCCTCCGTGCACCAAAAAATAAGCCCCCTGAAAATAATACTTTCAGAAGCAGCTGCTTATCCTTGCTGCCAGTGAAGTCATTAGGAGTTTCATTATTGATTTCGGTAGGAAAATATTTAGACCAATGTTTAAAGCTTTTGAAAATATCAACCATCTTTCTTCAAATTATTAATATATAAGAAATAAATATTTAAATAGTGGCATATAGATAAAGAAAAATCCATTTTCTTTACAGCTGTGTTGTATCTTTCCTTTGACTCTCAGGAATCAAATCACCAAAGCCTAGTAGATCTCTCTTCTATTCCTTTTCTTCACAAGTGTTATATCTGATAATTATTTTCCCTGACTTCTTCTGATCTGTTACTGAAGGTTTTTAATGGAGACAATGTTAAATAGATAATTGGAAAATCTATTGTGTATTTATAGTGAAAAACACTTTTCTTCTTCTTCTTGACATACACTTAACCTCAAGAAAATAATACTTAGCTTTCCACTCACTTAAATGGTGTACATGATGTACAGAAAATGATTGATCAGGTTATCAGAGTTCCTGTCTCAGGAATACTGTATGCTTTCCATGCATAATACCCTGGTTATAACCATAGAGTATATAATGGTAACATTCTGAAGTGCATTTTTAACTTTGCCATCCTTGTATATATGTTTTGTAATACTGCTTAGCAGAGATCCAGAGAGGGGAAGAAGGAAATAACTAAAAACATTAAAAGGTGTAGGAAGCAGCAAAATAAATTAAGCCACAATTAGATTCCTGCCAAGGAGATAGCTATTGATACTGCCATTTGACAGTGGTGACATAAAATTCTTGTTCCACTAAATTGAATAAATGTTTTGCTGTTTATCAAAAAGGGTTAATACTTCACCCAAATATTCCATATTCCCTGTTAAACCAAGAACTGAATCATTCCATAGGTATGAACAAATGAAATTAGAGGCACATAGCTGGTTACAACAGAAAAAATGTCCCTGCATTTTCTGGTGATGCTTTCATTCCCAGCTATTACAGCATAACTGAATGATCTTAATTTGAGTATAGATCCTGTAGACCAAAACATTAAATTAAATGTGTCACAAGCCTGTACAGCCCCTCTTACTGCTCCTACCACCCTACCAAGATCATGCTCTGCTTTAGCAGAGGTGCATAACGGATCCTGGACAGCAGAATAAACCTCTGATTGTCTCAATGAGCTCCCGTTTCTTTCCAGTTGTGTATGATATTCACACAAATAATGATTTACATTTCAGACCCTTTTTATGCTCACAAGGATCTCAAAAAAAAAACAAAAAACCAACCCTCAGTGTAACTGAGGATCAGGCCATCAGTTTATTGTCATCAGGCATTGGACTTGATGATCCTTGTGGGCCCATTCAAACTCAGCATATTCTGGGCCTTTTAATATCAAATTCCTGTACCTATGAGACAAGCTCTCCATTTACTTAAAACACAATTCTCACTGTGTTCTGTTTTCTGATGCTCTAATCATAACCTAGCTTAGAAAAACTCTTCAAACCAGTTCTTTCTTTGATTACATCTTTGTTGGTGTGTATCAACCCACTTATTTGCACAGCTTTGTTTTCATTGCCATCTCTTCCCATACTCCTACATCCTCTCAGGATTTGGCCCTACTCCATCTAGCTGAGGTCTGATGGTTCACCCTGGAACAATTCTTGATTATGAAGCAATATCAGAGTCAAAATCCAGGTTCCTGGGGTGCAGGGTAGTGCTTGTAAGTGGTAATATACCGATTATTTAGCTGTCTCCTCTTACCTCCCTCCACCTTGGAGCGGAATATCTTTTTAGTCAAATACATTCTTAGTGAGTTTTATTTTGCTGTGGGAAGCATACTTAGCTCTGGTAATTTATTAGCAGCTTTCAGCAAATTCAAATATCAGGTGGTTGAAGTTATGTTATTCAAAGGCTGTGGATTTAAAAAATGCTGTACAATCCACCAACCTCTGACACGAAAACAAAATTAATGAAACTTTAACAGTCCTGCTGAAGTCAGTGGTCCCTACTAAGGAAGTTATTCACCTCTAGAGGTTTTAAAAGGTATGACTGTTTTATAGAAAATAGGCCACAGAGCTTTTAATAAAATTTTCCTGCACAGCATTCCTATAGCATATGGTTATAGTATAAAATGTTAACAAGATGATCACTCTCAACAATGAATGTGGATAAATACAGCTGCCACATGGCAATAATAGGACAATATCCTCCAAAAAGCCATTTTTTGAATTTGAAATAAATTTTTTCCATTCTTCTCATTCTTTATCCCCCAAGAAGGTATTTTTTGGACAATGACACTTTTATGATCTGTTGGGTTGGATATCAAAGGGTTCTACCCATCACACGCTAAGTGTGCATAGCAGCAGAAGAATGCCATTCCTCACCTTCCCACTTCATTTAAGTAGATTTTTAGTACAGTGCTAAGAAGCAGCCTTAATTTTATCTGTGTCTGAATTGCTGCCAGCAGTGATAGTGACAGATCACCAGCAAAACTTCTCCACAGTGTTCACTGACAAGACAGGAAATACCTGTAGTGCTTGAAAACTGTTCTCTGTTTTTCTTCATGAAGCATGCATGAGGAGCAACTTCCCAGTTTGCAAGTGAAGAAAGTGAGGCAACTTAAGCAATTTAAAAAGGAAATATCTGTCTCCGGATTCCCAGCCTTATGTTTTTCCTAGAGGACAACTCTTTCACCTTTGATGGCCTGCCTCAAGTATAGCCTTTTTCCATTAAGGAAATACTGATTTTGTTGTCTTGCTTGAAAGCAGACTACAAATTAGCATGGCTGTTTTTGGTTACTTCATTTTGTAAGTCATTTGAGAATAGTATTTATTAATTAACTGCTGTTGCTCATCCAGTGGGCACTCACAAGCTTTTTTTCCCATGGTATGTGTTAAGCAGCAGCTATTAAGAATGTTCCTCTGTGACAGTGTCAGGCTTTCCCTTTAACTGTTTAATATCATGCAGAGAATCCAGTCCCAACATTTAAACCAGATTATATGATTTAGAAGAAGCAGGACAGGGGGACTTGAAATTCTTGTTATTTACTTTATAAGGATATGGCTCCTTATTAAATTTATTTTAAAAACTTATTAAAATTAGTCATTTATATTATGGTGGTGATGACAGCATACTACTTATTTTTGAACATAGATGAGAAGATACAATTCTGTCAGAAAAAATCCCAGACTTCTAAATCAACACAGGATCTCATTTGAATTGTCTAACGCTTGAAGTAGCTGAGATTAATAAGAGATAGGGACGATCAAAGGGTTATAGAAAAAGTTGCAAGTGAACTGCCATGATGAGAGTTGGTGGTGGCAGGTACAGCGCACTGGGATTTTGGAGGTTTACTAGTACATCTAGCATTAGTTCTGAAGGATCAATATACAGATCTCCTCTGTCAAGTGATATGTAACATGTTAATTCAGAGTTTAATCATAAGGGGAACAAAATTACTGGAGTAACAAGCTTAACTATTATTTCCTGAGGTATCTTCTGTGAGAAAACTTTATTGAGATTGCGGAAAGGGAAAGTCATGGAAGCTGACTGCTATCCTCTCACTAGTGGCTATTATATATGTATATTACATATGTATTTTATATATGTGTACTGACTACTACAGTGACTAGTGACATTTAGTGACTGCCACAGAGTCACTAAATGATAGGAAGAGAATTGTTTCACTGTTTATACCTCATTTTCCCCATCAATGAAACAGAATAATGAAAAGTACTAATTGTTGTGAAGTATTTTGATATCTAGTGATGAAAAGTCCTAAAAACTTGAGGCTCAATCCAAAGCCCTTTGAAGTCCTCAGAAATCCCTTGATTCAACTATCTTAATTTGGATTTGCCTTTGCCTGCAAGTCACC